GGGGGGGGGGGGGGGGGGTTACAGAAATGGTACATCAGAAAGAAATACAGCTACTTATCATAAAAGGTAACAATTGTAAACTATGGAACAAATGTCAGGCACTTTGTACATGTTCAAACACCTAAAACCATCAAAGAATGATAGAGATAAAACTACAAAACTTCAGCAAGATGTGAAGCACTATTATTCTAGACCTGGATAATATTCTAACTGCAATATACTATAAGGATTGGAAAGATATCAAAGTGTGTCTTAGTTCAACTGAGAGCTTGATCATCAGAAGATGATCAACTACACCACATTGCTCAGCTGCTCTCTTCTCCTTTCCTCCAAATTTAATAACCCTTTGTGCCTCAACCTTGATTGAGCTGTGGATATCAATTAGCGAATCAGCGCATGGACATTAAAGTCCTAACTCTTTTTTCCCTCTCTTGTTTCTTAGCAGATGGAGTTCTCTTCAACTTATGCAGTTCTTCCATCACTGCTTTCTCAACTTTGTCGATTGAGTTTAGCAGCTTTCTTTGTGGTGTGAGGCAATCTAAGTCTCCAGAGTCGTTCTGATGTGTGATATCGAGCAATATCTTTGGCACTTTACCTACAGATTTGGGATAAATCCTGCTTCTAATTGTAGGATGTGGAGTCATAAATGAATTATTGTGCTCAAGTTGAGCACCTGATGTAGATTCAGAAGGATCAAGAACAGTCTGGTTCTGTGGTATTGGACTCTCAAGTTGTTGGCCTTCGCTCTCTCCAAAGCGAGCTCTTCTTCTTTCAATAGCCTATATAGAGAATCTTATAACAATCAGATTCATCCAGTTCACAAGAAACCTCACAATCCCAATGATATGCAACAAGAAAATCCCCAAAACCTATTTCATACATAGTATTGGGCAAAGTGACAACCAGTTTGCTCGAGTTGAGCACCTAGTAAGTGCAGTAAAATTAGGTGTGGTCGATGGTCGAACAACCAAAATATAAGACTCGACTGGCATTTCAGAGTATTAAGCCACACGGCGCAACAGACCTTTCACTAGAGATGCAAAAAACTTCACTGGACTCTTTGTACTGCAATGTCAGTATATGAAAATTTGAAAGTTGAAAGCATTAGGCAATTACCAACATTCATCAGTACTTTCTTGTTAAGATGTATTCCTGACTAATTGGAGCAACAAACCATAAGGTGAATTGTAACAAGAACATGAGCTCTATTAAGAAGCAACATCCAGATAATCCAATTCAAATTGGAAAAAGAAGTACTATTAAAACAGGATTTATGACCGTGAATTATCTAGACAAAAGTACAACTTCCACTTGTTAATTACAAACCCATTATTGTGATATATTTGATCTGATTGATCACATCTAACCATTCTTGAAAACAAATTGGGGTGTGCCATCATAACCAAGGTATTGGCAAAGCTAAATCGTAGAGCAAAACAATGAACCAAAATGTCAAATACACAAGTCTTAATTTACTTCCAAATAGGCCAAAATAAGGTACTAATTCATCAACCTTTTACCCTAGACGAAAATATAAGAATCGACTGGCATTCCAGCAATAAGCCACAAGGCATGGAGATTTATATTTGTCTTGTTAATTGTATTGCTGACAAGTTGAACAGCAATCCGTAAATAAAACTGTAGCAAGAACATGAATTCTATTAATTAAGAGGGCAGATCCAGAGACTCCAGTTCAAATTGGGAATAAAAATTAAAGACAAAAATTTATGACCATAAATTATCTAGCCTGAAGTACATTTTCTACTTGTTAACTACAAGCAAATCATCATGATATATTTCATCAGACTGATCCCATCTAAACATTTTCCCATACAAATTGAAAGTTGCATTTATGACCATAAAATGCAAAGAAAGGATCTATAAAATGTTAAATTCACAAGTCTTAATTTACAATCGAATATGCCATAAAATTACTATTTGTACAACCTTTTACCCCTAGAAACATCTACATTACATACCAATCTCAATTTACTTCCAAACATAAATGTTAAAAGATTTCACAACTAATAAAGGTCTAAAAGGCAATAATGTAACATTCTTGGATACAAATTGAAAGTTGCATTAGTGACCAAGAAGCTAAAAAAAACTAAATCATAAAGCAAAAAAAGAAAATGTAAAAAATTCACAAGCCTCAATTTACTCTCGGACACAAATGTAACAAGATTTCACAATAAATGAAGTACAAAAAGGCAATGCTATTATAAGCATATCATCTAGCCAAAGACTATACAACACATTGAGCAAAATGTACAAGCAGTAAATCATGAACTAACTATTGAATAAGCTTTGAGAAGTGAAGAGAAGGCATTACCCTGACAATGGAAGTGATATCACGAAGAGGAGTTCTTGGATACCAAGAAGGAAGCACACTTTGCTGTCCTCGCCCTTGACCCCGGCCTGACGGTGAAATGTTCTCTCGACCAATCACCCTAGCCGGCGTTCTATGCGAGTTCCGTCTTGGCGTCCCAAAATTACCTCTTCTCCCAATACCACCCCTACCACCACCACCCAAACCCACCCTCGCCGCCGTAGTACCTGGACGGAAAATTGCTCTAGTAGCTGACGCATCCTCTTGTTCATCCTGAAAAATCACAATGCCACCTCCTTCATTCCTTACAGTTGTCCTCCGTCTACGACTATAGATGTCCATTAGATCCTCCGTCCTTGATCTTCTATCTCTTGCCTCTGTCATTTTTACAAAATCTGCACACAAAACCCAAGAAAATGTTAGTTTCGATGACCCTTTGATTGAAACAAACAGAAAAAGTTATTTCTAGATCGAAAAGTAAAATCGAAATGTGCCGGAAATGGGGGGTTTTCCGGCTACCTGCCATTTTTACAGGCTAGAGGATTACCTTTAAAATCTTATGGGTTTATTGAGGGGTTCTTGTAGAAGGGAAGTGGAGTGGGGTTTAGGTTTGGTGAAGAAAGAGAGCTTACAGAGAGAGGCGTCTAGGCAAATTTTCAAAATGGAGTTTGGGCGGTACTTTATACAGAAAAGTTTAAAATGAAATTTTCAGAACTGAATTTTTTTTTTCAAAACTGCGGAAATTAGGGAAAATAATTAATGCCGGACAAGTAGCAGCTTAATCAGATTTCAAATTTCGAATTTTTAGTTCGTTAGCTGTTTTAACCGCCCGTGAAAATAAAGAAGGAAAAATCTCATTTTATACCCATTAATTCCAAATTATTTACCCTTTAATGTCCAGGCCTAAACTATTTACTACTCATGCCCATGCTGCCCAAACTATTTACCCGGTTATTTCCCAATAATATGAGGGAGTAATAATTGGAATCACGTGCAGCTTGTCCTCCTGCTCAACTACTTCTCCAACTCTTACTCCACTCTGCTCTTTTTTCATTTGAAGCAAAAACTACTAATCTCGTATCATCTCTGTAAAAAGCACACATATGTGACCAAAAACTACTAATCTTCTCTTATTGTCGTATTTTGGGGTTCATCATCAATGGCAATTTACACTTGTTTCTCACTAATACCTTCTTCTTTCTCTTCACCCAAACTGGTTTTTGGAGATTTATTGTACAAAAATTCAAATCCACCATTGAAGGACCTTGAAGCTTGAAACTCATAACTTGATTTGTTTGAGTTTTTAATCATTTTGAACCGATCCTATTAAAACTTCGTTTCCGCCACTGGACTAGCGCGGGCGCGCTAAGGCCGCGCTACTGCCCGCGCTAGTTGGGTTTCCTTCTGTTTTGGACTGCTGGACTAGCGCGGGCGCACTAAGGCTGCGCTAATGCCCGCGCTAGTGGGGTTTTCCACTGCCCACGAGCTTTGCTCCTTTTTTTCGTCCATTAATTCCAAATTTTGTCCGGATCATCATCATAAGTCCTCATTTGATTATTGCACTCCTGTGAAACACCAAATTCATCATTAGAGCCAATTTTTTGCATTATTTGTACACTTACAATAATAAAGCATCCTTAAGTTAGAGCCCGAACGTAGACCAAACTATACAATTTAGCTTATTATCAACACCCCACACTTAAATCATTGCTAGTCCTCGAGCAATCCACTACATCCTACAAGGTTTCTTTTCTAAGCTTTTCCCTTAACGACTCACTCCATGAACATTTTACAAAAATTGCAACTAGTAATGAGCAACTTTACCTCAAGAATCAAATCTGTCGTACCCTGCACATTCACACTTACTCAAACCACTCTATACAAGAGTCAAGACTTACCTTTCCGTTGTGAATCATATGCCCTCACATCACACAAGAGAGTAGTTCCATATACAGTTATATTTAGGACAATTAGGAACTAAGATAGAAAAAATTCGCTCGCTCTCAAAAAGAACATTCACATGCCACAAAGACGCACCATAGGCTTGCCCGTAGTGTAGTACTCTACTAATCGAGTCTCACTCAATCTAAGATCAATAGGTCTTTATTTGGTTGTAATGTAGGCTAAGGGACGGGTAGGATATATTTGGATATAGTGACTAACCTCCCTAAGCACTTTTAATACAATTACATTAAACTTCGAGATCATCATTTTGTCAGCCAACATTCCACCACACTTATTTAAACCTCCCCATACATTAGGTGCAATTTGTACAAGCTACCACTTATCGATCACTATATAATATATTTTTTTCAGTGGTGCTTCTCTTTTTATGCTTCAACATTCTGCACCTTTTCTCTATTTCCATGGTTCCATTTCAAACACCAAACCACCACCCCACACTTTTGCTTTTGCATATTTCAATACTATTCTAGTGCTTAGTGAGAGGAGAAAGGGTTCAAACAGCAGGCTATTCAAACAACTGGGTAAGGTTCACAATGTGGTTACCAAAGAAACAGGCTTATAGGCTCAACGGGGTTAACTAAGATGTAATGCATTCAGGTGGGTTTACTTTGTATGTCTGGCTCAACAAAGAAATGCCTATATCCTTTCTAAAACTGAATGAAGCTACTATTTCGTTTCGCAAACACACAAGGCAAGTTCTAGGCATCAAATGTAAAGCATGGAATACAGTAACACTCACACACACATGGTACATGAATCACCCTGGATTAGTTTATCAAGACATTCTCTTTTGAGTGTTCAAGTTAGATACAAACATACAACTTTTAAGGCACTTAAACAAGATTCAACCCTTGAAGCTAAGCGTTACACTCTAGTGTCTATCGTGTTCAGGTGTAGAAATGCTAAGGGTTTTTTTTTCTTCGATTTTTAGCTCGTAGCCCATTAATCCTAACCTAAAACAAAAACAAAAACTACCTATACCGGGTTCAAGATAAAAGAACTGTGGCCCAAAGAAAAACCAAGGGGGGAGTTGTTACACTACCTAAGAATAAAATAAAAAATCTTTTTGTATTTTCTCTAGACTAACTTCCCTCAAGAAAATTGTCTAAAGGATCCGTCATCAGGAAGAGTCTCTATATTCCAATTTTTTTTTTCTTTTTTTTTCTTCGACTTAGTCCCTCAAGAACCCCGTCGAAAGAGATCCGTCGTCGGGACAAGTCATTTACTATTTTCACTTACCTAATGACTATTGTTCTAACACCAACACAATCAAAGCAAGACAAAACAACCAAAGAAAACAGTTAATTGTTACAATTACAACATACAATGAAGTATCCTTATCCCCACCACACACTTAAATTGAGGACATGTCCTCATGGCCAAGTAAATCAAAAGAAGGGAAAGGGAACTTCCCTGACTGCTCAATCCTGGTCGGAGACAGAGCCGGCGTCGACATTGCACGCCCTACCCAATGCACGGAGCCAACCCAGGATGCGTTTTTCTGATTTCTTCTGCTGGGTGGCCATCTCATCAACACGTGTCCCCAGGTCAGACACTGAGGTCCGTATTTCAGCTACCTCCTGCTCCATGCGGTCTAACCGCTGTCCCCGACTGGCCCTAGACGGGCCTGCAACATCATCAGCATGTGGTTGCGCTGGCTGCTCATCACCTACAATCTCCTCAGCATCAGCTACCTGTTGTTGTTCCTCCTCCTCCGCGTCATCACCATCATCAGAATCATGGCCAATCAATTCCTCAGCGGCTACCACTTCCTTGCCCGTAGTGACCCTCTCAGCTGTGAAAGGATGGACCACAGGAACTCGGCCATCTAAAGTAAGGTTACTCGGCACATTGGCTTGAAGGCACAACCGGGTGACCAGAGACGGGTAGTATAACCCATATCTTTGAACCCGGACCCGCTGGAACATTTCATCGTGTATGACCCTGGCCACATCAAATGGAGCATTATTCATGAAGCACGAAATGAGGCACCCTCGAGGGATATTCACTTCTGACAGGTTCTTTGAGGGTAGGAGTCGGCTATTGATAAAGTACAACCAGCATTTGGCCTCAAACTTGAGGGCTGAGGAGTGGAACTTATTCCCATATTTGTACCACTGAAGAGTGGCTCCCGGCTGACAGATAGTGTCGGTAAATGTGGACCAGGAAGTATGTTTTCCACTGTATGTTTGGTATGCATCCACGTACCCCTGAGGTAGTGGAGGAAGCCTGTATAGAGTTCGGATCCGGATAGTCTCCAAAGAAGCATTGACCGTCTCTTGTGCACTGTGACCGATTTTGATCCTCATGTTCTGGGAATTCGCATAGAATTCCCTAACAAGATTAACATTGCATGAATCGGCTCTCTTAAAGAATTATGTCCAGGTGCCTTCGCCTAACTCAATGGTATATACTGGGGATAGTCTCCCAGCTTGCATGGGATCCCCATGGGCCTGTCCGCACAATTGTTTGGCCTCTTTTCTTGTTAAACCTGTCTTGTGTGCCTTGGCGGACACAAAACTTATCTTACTATTGAAGGGCCTTTATTCAACCGTACTTTTCGGAGGCCTTCCCCCAGTTGTGGCTGTTAGTCGGGCGGCTGGAGGACGGAACTGTTGCTTGCGTTTGCGAGAGCCATCGTTGGTACCTGCCAAATAGATCCAACGTCAGTTCTAATTCAAATCGGGTGACCAGAAACATGGTACTCAGACTTCACCGCGGAATTTGTCACAACACTTCCTCAATAAGAGGCATCTTTAACAAACACATTGTGGCCAATGGTTAATTTTAAGCTTCCAACTTATCCCTCCAACACAAGGACACATGACCACAATTAACCCAACTAGCACACAATACAACCACAATTGCATTTTTTCAATTTTTTTTTCCAGCCCAACCTAAACTATTGACATCTGTTTTCTACCCTAAAATAAAACATAGCTTCTACTATACCAAAGTAACAAGAAAGAAAAAAAACTAAACTAAAAACGAATTGAAATCTACACTACAAAATTAAAGAGAAGAAACAACTTACCAAGTAGGATGAGAATGAGAGCAAAAGTGGAATATTGATTGAAGAGAGGAAGGTGGTGTTGGTGAGTTGATATGGAGGCGAGAAAATGGAGATAAGAATGAATTAAGAAAAAGAAGAATAGAGGGTTTCTAGGGTTGGAATACAAGCTATATGAGAGGAAGAGGAATTCTGGGAATGGAGAGGAGTGGGAGCGCGTGGTGGGTTGTAAGTTAAATGGGTTAAGAGAATAAACTAACAAGAAAATAAAAAAAAAATTCGGGAATCTTACCTGGACTAGCGTCGGCCTTAGCGCTTGTCATAGCGCGGGGGCGCGTCTGCTTAAGTCGAATTAACGAGGCAGTGTTGAAACCAACTAGCAGCGGGCTGCGCGCTAGCTTTGCGCCGGCACGCTAGTTGGTCAAATATAAGAGAAAGAACCTCTACTTAGCGCGGGTCTTAGCGCTGTTTTACGCGCGTGGCGCGCTCAGTGGGAAGAGGGTCGAGGCAGAAAGAGAACTGGTATAAGCGCTGCCTTTAGCGTGCGGGGCACGCTAATCCAGGTGTTCCAGTGTTTTTTTTTAAATACATGAAGTTACATACTACAACTTAACAACACATCGTGGGTTGCCTCCCACCGCAGCGCCTGAGTTTAACGTCGCGGCACGC